AACCCCGCCGCCGCCCACAGCTCGGCCGGGATGAACACGCCGGAGCTGCCCCCGCCGCCGGCCGGGCCCGGGACCGCTGCCTCCTCCACCTCCACCGCCGCCGCTGCCGCCGCCGGGCTCTCCGCCATTCCGCCGCCCGGCCTGGGAGAGCTCCGCTTCCGGGACTCCACACCACCGAGTCGGGCGGCCAGAGCGGCCGCCGCCCTACTCCTCCACCACAGAGTCCGGGCCAGAGTGTCCGCCGCAGAGACCCGCCCCCCGCTCCCTTCCGCCGCCACGAGCTCTCGTAGAAACCATAGAGTCCCCTCCTACCTCCAGAGTGTCGCCATTCGGCTGACCCACAATCGAGTCCTCCCCCAGAGCGGCCGTTCGGCCAACTAGGGGTCCACCATAGAGTCCCCTCACACCAGAGCGTCCACCCAACCGAATGAGATACTTCCTTCCACCCCAAAGAAAGTGGCTCTCCACACCAGAGTGTCACCTCGCTCAGTACAATGACGGACCATTTGACCTCCCAGCTAGTCCATCTGATAGGAGCGCCCCGTGTTGGGTCCTTGAGGCACGACCTGGGACCTGGTGGCAGGCTCCTTGCAGCGAAGCCACTGCCCAGGCGTCATGGCCTGTAGCTGCAGGGTTATCACATGGCGGTTGGGTGGAAGGGGGCTGCCCCAACTGGGATGCCCTTGGGATGCCAGGCTCAGGGTGCACAGCAGCACGAAGCCTCTTTACAGCAGGGTGCAGTGATTCCAGGCCACGCTTCTACTGCTGGGCTCAGGTGGTATGCCTGCACCCCTTCTGCTGCACTGTGGCAGACTGCCATTGCCTTTGAGAGAGGACATGCCTCTTTTAATCCCTTTATATTAGTCCACCAAAGCTGAATGAATCAAGAAAAACATCTCAGGAATATGAAGCGCGGGCAACTTCAGTTCACAGTAACAGACAATGGAGGCTCAGGACCTAAGTCAACTGCCCATGAGGTCACGCAGCACAACTGTGGCAAAGCTTGGACTACAGAAGATCTCTTGAACATATATTGACAACATTTCATGGAAGCAGGATATCCACTGCCATGATTCCCCTGTGGCAGGTTAGGTCTGTGTTGTATCAGTGTTGATGGTGGTCTTATGTAGAGTTCAGATTATGGATAGCAGAGGATGGTTTGGATAGGCATGATCCTGCCTGAGGCAGGGGGTTGGACTAGAGGACCTCTGGAGGACCCTTTCAACCTTGTTTTTCTATGATTCTATGAAGTTTTGTGCCAGGCCCTGCTAAAATGTAGCCATTTCCTTCTGTGAGACCAACCTAGAGACCTTCAAGCCCAGACCATCTCAAGTGTCTATCTTTTGCAACTTCATGATTGTATGATGGGAGGAAAGAGGGTATTTAGCCCTATCCTCCCATAACACATGCACAAAGCTGTAACCACCTCACAATTCCTTAGTCCTAATTCAAGGTCACGTTTCATTTGCTGAGGATACAGAAATAAGAAATAGTGATCTAGAGAAGTGTTTCTGAAGCTGGTATATACAGATACTTGGGTGGTATGTAATGCCCTTTGAGACAGCATGTTAGAGGAAGGAACAGGAAAGCAGAAGGAAAAGGGATACAACAGTAGAGAAAAACAGAAATAGTTAAGAACAACTTTACAGTATCTTAGATCCTGCAGAAGTAACAGCATGGGTGTAGAGATATAAAGCATTATTTCTTTATTTTCCATAATAGAATCAAAGAAATATACAGCAGCATGAACCCTGACCTCCCCCCCAAAAAAAATAAGTTTGAAAAAATAAAGATGTTACTAGCCCCAACTTACTGAGGCAAGTTGAACTTAAATATGGGGGTTCACAGTGGCTAGGTAAAGCCAAAGCACATTCTCTAACTGGCTCAAGTCTAAGAGAAGATGTTATTCACAAAGATGATACCAACTAGCAATTAGTGCTCTCACTTACCATTAAGTCATGTGCAGTGGCTATTGTCCACATTAAACATTAAAGATAAAGGTACTTCTCTGTGTTTTGTATGTTCTATATATACCTTTTATACCTTTAGGGCTCCTGATATGTGGCCATGGTAGATCTTGAAGAATACACTTCTCTCTCCCCACCTACCCATGTAGGTGCCTAGCGTCACCTTGGAATTGGAATTTCAAATAGGCAATATCATACAATCTGATCAGCTGCTGGGGGATTCCAGCTCACATTTCAGCACTTCTGGAGTCACTAACAGCCTGCACTCCCTCAGACAAATCCAGCCTGTGAGTGAATAACCATACAAAACACCTAAAAAAAATTACTTCCATTTGTTTCTATCAATACAAAGGAAGGCTTGGGGTCTGGCTAAGATTCTGACACACATTATACTTTTCATGAAATTTGCCATCTCATTTCACATTAGGCTTTGGGCTTAGGTGGAGCCTCTGTGGTAAGTATATGTCTGTCTGTCTGACTCTCTAAGGGGTAATTAAGATGTAAATCTCACCACAACCATAAGCATCATCCTAAGAAAGTCCCTTCCCTATTTCAGCCCCTTTCATAGTATTGACTACAGTGCCTGTTGTACTTTGGGGCAGTGTTAAGAATGTAAAGTGAAGGAGGCAACAATGGAAGCAGACAAATATTTCAGTGGTTTCATTTGTTGGAGGCAGCTAGCTTCTTCACACTTGGACTCAAGTCATCTCAGTTATTTTTACTGATTGGAAGGTGAAGAAAATATGCCAATACATTAAAGAGATGCAATGATGAAAGTGAGGATCAGTCTGACTGTTGGCAGGGAAAATAGGACTGACCTTCTGATTGTACAATTGCTGTAACTGGCTGGCAAGGTAGATGGAAGCATCCAAACACCAAGTGTGGGGAGGACTTCAGCAGCATGCTAATACCACTCCCATCTTTCCACACACTCAAGAGAAACAGGGTTAGTCTAGAAGCTGCTTTGTTTATGCAGGATGGTGGTAGTCTGCCACACTTGTTCCCTTTATTTTTAATATCAGTCAGATGTGGTTGTTTTTTTTAAACCCCAAGAAATCTGCACTTCTAAGCCACTCAAAGCCTTTTCTTCCCATATTAAGAGGCAGTTTGATCATGCTTCCCTTGTGGAGATCCCCTCCAAGGCAACATCCTCAAAAAAGGGCTTAGCATCCTTCTGTCTTAGGATCTTGCATGAAAAAAGCTTGTCCTTTCTCGAAGAAAAGTGTGGTTTTTACCCTAGCTAAACATTCCTAGCACAAATCACGTCTCATAAGCATAAAATACTAGGTTTGTGTAAAATAGACTTGGTTTAACTGACCTAATACAGCTGTTGCCTAGGTAACATGCAACAGCCGACTCTGGCTATACTGCAGTATGACGTACACAGTAGGACCAACTACACAGCAGAAATGCACTGAAGTGTCTACATGCTTGTGCCTAGAACTCTACATAGTTAGGAACATATCAATTTTTCCCCCCATCTTCCTTTAAAACACACACCCAGAAGAATCTCAGTCAACTGCTTTAAGAGAAAGCTAGTAGTTTCTGGAAAGGTATTTTTATTTCTTCTAAAGTGTTGTTACTATTCATTGCATTGGGGTTCTCAGAGTGGTAATAGTAGTTAGGAAGCACTGCAGTTATTATTATAGTCCTTTTCAAATACACGCAGCAGAAAACGTCACAGCCAGATTCAAAGGCTTTTGAATACCAGCCACCGTCTTAGATCATGATCTGTATGTCTGGGTGATCTAATATACATCTGCTGCAAAAAGGAAACAGAAAAAGTTAATTGATAACACCCTGCACAAATTAGGATTGCACATCAGCTTCTAGCCAGCATGGGGGAAGGCTGGCTACTGACAACCATTGTTAAAATTTGATCTTGAACCCACCCATTTCTCTCATATGGGACATCAACATGAGTGCACTCATGCTACTTCAGTTGGTTTACAGATATTGTACCCATCCAAGTTCTACTAATACTGACACACCTAAACAGTAGCCCCTATGTACCATCTTTCAGATTATTCCATCATGCTTTTCTTATAAAAGGGAGACAGCAATGCCTCATGTCAATTTAAGCACCATTATCTGCTGTAGTATGGCAATTAAAGGTAGATTTGCACAAGAGCCCTTCTATTTGTGAGTGTAAACAGCACTAATGGTTCTTTCTTCAAGCTCGTATCATGGGATGATACTGCAGGATCAAATCAACAAGCCATCATCCCTGGACTTGCTGCCAGTTTACAATAGCTACTTTTCTCCCTTACCCCACATAGGTGCAGTTCTGCTTCAGCTTTAGATACCTCTATATGCTAGCAGATTCTTTCATCTTAAAAATGTACATTATTTTAACTCAAAAAGACCCAAATAATTTCTTCTTGTATTAAATACACCACAGAGGCTTAATCCCCAACCGTCTGTCTGGCACTGGAAAAGAATGCAAGGAAGTCCAAAGTCATTTGGTTTAGAGAAAGATTTTGTTTAATCATAAATCTGGAACCCTCTGGTAAAGGAGGTGGATTCAAACTGTAGAGGACACAGAGCCACAATCAGGCTCAGAAGCTGTCACATAGCAAACAGGATGAGGAATGCCACCATCAAACAGAAGAGCCCCATAGCCTCAGACAGGGCAAAACCCAGGATGGCATAAGAGAAGAGTTGCTGCTTCAGAGATGGATTCCTGTAAAAGATGCAAGAAGAAATTGATAAGTGTGTGTGGGTGTGCAGGAAGTGACAAATACTGCATAAACACAACATAGCTATTCCACAGAAAGCTGAGGATGACCACACACACAAGGAAGAGATTCAACTGCACTTAAGCCTTAGGAAGACAGAAGACCATAAACAGCGGGCATTGAGTGGGAAAATAGCAAGGTCCAGCATAGCACACACAAGAATGAAGCTGAGAGAAGAAACAGAAAAATGCAAGACATTTCCTTAGCTTTTTAGTGGATTGACCAGAAACAAGTTAAGACCTTAAAAAGGCTTGTCCCTAACTGAATCATTAGTGTACTGGGCAGCAATCCCCAAGCATTATTGGACCATGCCCTCTAGCAGCAGGCCAAATTCTGCAGAGCTATCAGAAGTACTTAGAAATAGTGAAGAAATGACATTTCTCTTTACTTCTCCTCCAAAACTACCATGTATGTGCAGTCCATCCCACCTTACCCTCCATCCTACATGTGGTTTCATTTCACAGCTGGACAAAGTGATTCCTTAGCACTTATCAATGAGTTGAGTAATTAACTTGCTATGGTATGCAAATGAGTGAGTAGCACTATGCAGTCTGAGACCCTCTTTAAGTGGCCCCTTTCTCCTCTCCTCTCAAGTGTCCCAGAAAGCCTCCTAGACCAAGCACAAGGGAAACACAGAGGTGGGGGCAAGAGTCTACTACAGACCACTTAAAAAAAACCAACAAACTAAAATAGAGGAAATATTTTACTTACCTGGCATAGCCAATGATCAAGCTGCCAAACACTGTTCCAATACCTGCTCCTGAACCAGCCACTCCGACTGTGGCAGCACCAGCACCAATAAACTTAGCAGCAGTATCAATATCCCTGGAAGTGGTGCTGGTTTGGAATTCTCGGCAGGCCAGCTGTAGATGAGAAGCACCAGAGGCCTAGAGGAAGCAAGAGAAACCCAAGCATGATGCAGTTGTAGTTCAATACATTTAACAAAGGTTTGTTTCCACCCTAGCCCCTATCGTAGGCACAGCAAAGGCACCAAAATATGCTGAGCTGAAAGAGCGTGCTGGATATTTTAGAGAGGTCAACATATAGACTTAGTTTGTCTGTACAAATTCAAGCCAATAACTTGCATTAGGTATCAAAGACTCCAAGACAGCATTTCCACTGCCCAAACACATATGCACCAAGCTAGTGATGCAGACTAAAGCTAACCCAGACAAGAAAACATTTCATTGCAAAGTTTTCTAAGGACAGACCCTGCTTCAGTAAGTAAGAACCATCTTGCCTTACCTGTACCGTCTCAATCTCAGGTCTGCTGAATACAGACACAGAAACTGGCCTGGCCAGAGCCCTGGAACAGCAGCGGAGCTGAAGTGGAAGACAGACATTCAACCCACGATGAGAAACCCTCATGTTCCTCACAGAGGAAGGCAGTTCACAATGTACACAAGAGCAGGCACTTGTTTATCAGATGTCCTTGAACAGGTTGCAAGTGAAACAAGAGAGCTGAAGTCTCTCACCAACTCCACTAACGCATCTGCTTTTCAGTTTCAAGGACTTAACCCAGTCAATTAACACCCTCCTTTAATCTAGGGCCAGATGCTACTTCAGGACGACGTGCCACCACCACCTACTTCAAAAGGTGCTCATACCCAGGAACAAAACCTCTGGAAAAAGGAGGTAGTGTTACCTGCTCTCATTCATGGCACATTGGGACCCTGTCTCACCCACCCCAGTTCTGCTTGACAGCAGAGTCGCAGAAAACGAGGGCTGGAAGGGACCTCCAGAGGTCACCTAGTCCAACCGCCTGCTCAAAGCAGAACCAACCCCAGCTAGATCATCCCAGCCAAACCTTTGTCTAGCCAGGTCTTAAGAACCTCCAAGGACAGAGTCCACCACCTCTTTAGGTAACCCCAACAGGAGCAAAAATACCCTCCCCCACCCCTTCCCCAAACACCAATAGTGACCTTGCTCCACCAGCCTCAGGCCTGCAGCACGACTCTCCACCAAAGCCCACCTTCCCATGAAAAGCATGGTATCGAGGACAGCACCACCCGCCCCTGCCACCGCAGCTGGGCACTGCTTACCAGAGCCGGAGAGGTGAGGAGAGCCACAGGGGTCTGCATCTTCGCGGACCTGGGGAGAACAAGGCAGAGGAAACCTAAGCAAAGGCGGAGAGGCGCGGTGCCGCGATCCACGGCTCTGAGCAGCGGGAGGGAAGCACCCAGGCCTCCCCTCTTCCTCAGCACCGCAGCCCAAAGACGCGCAGCTCCAGCCCCAGCATGGAGCTGGCGAGGACACGTGGGACCGGCGGCCGCTCACCGGCAGGCAGCAGCTGAGCTAGAGCTAGAGCTAGAGCTGGAGCACCCGCAACAGGCAGACGAAGGCCCACCCCCACCACTCACCTTGCCATGTACCTCGGCGTCCTCCACGCTCATTGGCTGGCACGACTCACGCCGCGCCGCCGCATTGACTCCTGGGAGCCAGCCGGCTCTCCCCCATTGGCTCCCACGGAGCAGCCCCCACCTCCCACATCCGGGACCTTGATCTTGAATGAGAGAGGGGAGGGAGGAGGAAGAGGACGTGAGCGCCTCCCCGCGTTCTGATTGGAGGGATGGTGGCCCTCCCTTGGTCTCTGATTGGCTGTCTGCCCGGCGGTCCTGAGCAGGAGTTTACAGATGGTCCAAACGGGGTTGGGTAGAGCGGTTGTTCCGCCTCATCTCTTGGGTGGGAGAGCTTGTTATGGAACGCAACATGGCTGCCGAGCGGCTCCTTGGCGGGGGGATGTCACGTGGGCGTCACTCGGGGTTTTGCGACTGGAGGGGCGGGGTTGACTGGCTCGCCCGCTCAGTCACGTGGGAGCTCCTCCGGTTTGGGTCCGTAGCTGGGATCCCGCTGGCGGCTGCTCCAGGTGCAGGTCGGGGGCTCGGCTCCCTGCCGGATTCCAGCCCCTTGCGCTGCTCCCGGTGCTGCGGAGCCGAGCCCGTGTTTATCATCCTGTTGGCTTGGTGCTTGCTTTGCCCCCCGAGCTGTGTCCAGCTTCCCTTGTGGTTTGCTGAAGTTCCGTGGATCGGATCCTTGGGAAATGGGCCCTGGGAGTTTCTCAGTCCTTCACTGAAGGATGCCCAGGTGCCTTGAATCCTCAACAAGCCTGGGGTGTTTAAGCCCCGGAGCGTTTTGGGGTTAAGCAGGTGTTGACACCACCAAACAACAGAGCAAAGGGGTTGTAAACAGCAAACTGAAAAGCAATCAGGTTTCACTTCCAGGGGGGTTGCAATGTCAGCATTCTGCAAAGTTCTCCTGTACTTTGGAATCCCAGCGCAGAGAAGCACTTGCAAATACTTCCCTCATATAATCACATGGAAAAAAACAGCCCCCCCCCACTTTTTGTCCCCTCATCATGTAACTTTTTGTTTTAAAAAACAGACTGGTTTAAACTCAGGGTTTTTTTGTTTTACTAATACACCTGTTTAAACACCTGCAGGGGGGAAAAAACAGCCAAGAGAAATATTCTCTGTGCAGCAGCCTCGATAGGTTTATGGAGAGCCGAGGGGAAATCTTGAGGCAGCCCTGTATGTAAAGTCCCACAGAGGGGTGGGTGTACACTGCCATGGGGAATGTGCCCTTCCAGAGGATACACCTGGGATGCACTTGACACAATGTGTAGAAATATGGTAGTAGGACTCTGGCTAATGTTATGTGAAATGGAGACTCTAACTGACTGGCTAGTAATGTGTGAGCAACTAGCTGCTTCCACAATTGTTGTTCTGGCCCTCTTCCATATATGTGCCTCTGTTTTTTGGATGGGAAATGCACCACCACAGTTCTTAGAACTAAAGCCTGAGAAAATTTCTAAACCATATCTGCATATTCCTTAGAAACCCCCAAGGAAGACAAATCTCAAATTTCCCGATACTTCTAAGGTGAAAACAAAAGTTGACAGAAGCTTTCTTAAAGACAGAATGGTCTAGTTCCTGCAGATGCAAGTTAATGGAGACACTGTCAAAGGCCTTTCATGTCCTGCTATGAAGCCTGTTGACCTTGACCTTTTCTCTTTCTGCACTAGATTGCCAAAAGGAAATGGCTCAGTTACAGGAGAAAGATCTGGGAAGGTTCATTACTATCTATGCTCAATCATCACAGCATGATAATGAAAGAGAGGAGAGGAGTCAAGATTCTGCCTATAGATATAAAACACCTCTGCCCCGGAGCAGTTTCTCCCCACTCCGTACCATATTTCATATTAACTAAAATCAGGCATCTGTCTGTCAATCCAGAGACTCACCAGCAGATGGAGTCAGCTGCCTAAACTACAAGAGAGCCATCTCCACCCTTCCAATGGAATGAGGAGCCCTGTCATCGGCTCTCCCCCTTCTCCTGGCATCTGTTGATCCACAGAGTGTCCTTGTACTAATGATTCCAAAGCAAGGAAGACTGCACACATTTGCTAATGCAAGAATGCAGGCTTTATGAGCCCCTACACTTTGGATATCCATGCTCATTCCAACATGTGTTTGAGAGAAAGGCCTCTGGGCCAATCCTACAGAGGATACCATCTTCCTTCTCATCCTATGTCACTTGTCATCAAATCCTTTTGCTTTTCCCTCAGTTTTTTGTTATATTCCCTACCTCCCCTTTCAGGGCTCTGAAATATAGTCACCAGCAAATCTGGTCTTTGTTTTCTTGGGCAAGCTGAACCAATTTGTTCCTGGCTTCAATCAATAAATACAACAGGGTATCAATCAGCCTTCTCCATGGCTTGTTGCTTCACATTCCAGTATATCCTCCCCACTTTGTCTTACCTTCATCCACTTGCAGTGTTCTGCCTTTCCATTCCATTCCCAGTGCTTTGAACAGCTTCAATATTGCCAATCCCAAGCTTCAATACAGGCAGTCCTCGACTTAAGACCTTTTGAGTTGCAACAAATAGCACTTACGGTGTTTATAAATTGGCACCCTGTTTCAACTTTCTGATGTCAGTTTTGACTTTACGACATTTGATCTGATGTGATGCCTTGCCAGTGAACAAGTTTGCTGCGTCTCCCATCTTCTTGGAGAACATCTGTCCAAACTTCCTTGGACACTTTCTTTGAGAAAGCAGACAAGACTCCAAAAAAACCTATAGCCAAGACTCCTGAAAAGACTCCAGTCAAGAACCCTTCAAAAAGTCCAGCAAAGTCACCTCAAAGAAGTCCTTCCAAATCAATATGATTGCTATTTACAATATAAATACATTAATGTAGCTATATTACTCATCCATTGGCAATGTGTAGGGGGTGCACGCAGGTGCACATGCACCCCCTGAGATTGGCCATGCACTCCCTGAGATTGGCCGCCATCGTTGCCAGCAGCATGTGTGGGTGGTCATTGTTCACCATTCCCCCTGCCCCCCACTGCCAACGCGGCTAGCAGTGTCTGTGGGTGGTTGCCACACCCCTCCTCCCCACTGCCGCCGACACCTCCGCAGCTGCCTGCAGGCAGTCCTCACTCACTGCCACTGACACCACTGCTTGTGGGCAGTCGCCATGCCCCCCCAGCCTCAGGAGGCTCAAGGTGTTCATGTAAAACTCATCTATAATTGATCGAGTACAAAATTCTGGGTTGTTTTTGGTGAAAATGGGGTATTGGGCCTTGGTTCAGGAACTAATCCCCCATTTATAATATTGTTCCTATGGGAAAATTGGTTCTGAGTTACAATGTTTCGACTTAAGATGTGGTTTTCAGGAACCAATTGTGTCCTAAGTCCAAGGACTGCCTGTATTGCCCATCCCAAGCATTAACTCCTACACACACTCACACACACAACACACAACAGTCAGGAGTTTAAAACTATAACATTATACAATAATCTATTTTTGGTTTGCATTTTGTTTTCTCTTTCTTTTTAAGGCATTAAGGTTCACCTCCCCAAGCTTCCTCCACAGTTAAAGCTAGAATCTTTTGTTTAAAAAGAAAAAAGCAAGTGGAGAGTCTCCTGTCACCATGTGACCCCAAGAACCAGACAGCATGAAAGAAGTTTCCCTATACCCCAATCACTTTGCCAGGGCTGTATGTCTCCTCTCACCTCCTTGAAGATGGGGGTAGGCTGTCTCTCCTTCAGTGCACAAGATGCGAGAAAAAGAGGGAGGGATGTGGATCTCCCTTCAGTTTCAGAGGTATGATGTCATGGATGAGTAGAGGTATGTTGGCCTGGATCAGTATCCAGCGTGTGACGTCGCTGGTCAGTATCAGAGGTACGATCTCACGGGTCAATATGGGGTATGATGCCATGGATCCTTCTGGTGCCTGCAACTGGTCCCCAGCCTCTTCCACCATGCCCAAGCTTTTTGCATGTCTTCCTACGGATCACCAGCATCTTCTTTCTTCCAGGTACTTGTAAGCATCCCTCAGCCTCCCTGGGTGGTGCAGACACTGTTCCCACACGGGCTCTCGGTGTGTGCTGACCGCTCTCCTCCGGCGCCAGCCGGCAGCGCCTTCAGGCCTCCCCCGGGAACTACAACTCCCAGCATCCCCCGCGGGGGCGTTGCCCTCAGAAATGTTCCGGGTGGGGCGGAGGGGGGGGGGTGAAGGGTTCCGCCCTTCCTCGGCTCCTCTTCCTCAGTCGCAGTCCGAGAGGCTTCGAGCTGTCTCCTTTGGTGAGTGAGTCCCCAGAGGAGGAGATTGGCTTCGCTGTTGCGGCGGGTGGTGTGTGTGTGTTGCGGGGGAGCACTGGGGAGCTGTCGCTGCTTCTGCTCTCTGGGTCCTGAACACTTTCACTTTCACTTCCTTAATGGGGGGGCACATGGTGATGGAAGAGAATGTCCCATTCGGGGACCCGGAGTCCATGGCTTCTGGGGGGGGTAACCCCCCTTCCCCCACACACTTAATGGGATGGAGGGAAAGAAGGGGGGGATGGGGATAGCCGGGCAACACCCCTGAGGCCTGCTGCTCAGGGTGTTGCTTCCAGGAGGACCCTGCTTTGCAAATGTGCCCCCTGCAGAGTGTTGCTATGGGGTGTTGCCCCAGCCAGATGCCAGGATTTGCCCCTGCATCCCTTCAGTTGTCTCACCTTTCCCTCACCCTCCTTTGCCAGCCCCTCTGTTTGCTCCTGCCCTCCCATGACCCATCCTCCAACCCCCCTGCCTCCAACCCTGCTGAAAGAGCTGGGTCTTGCACCAGGATCTCCTGCCCTGATGATTCTGGAGCTGTTCCCGTTTTGCCTCCAGGCACACATACCCTCCCTCCCCCCCAACCCCAAGATTGACCCCTGACTTGGCACCGCTCAGGATGGGGCAGTTATTTTGCTGCATGGGCTGGCAGTGTGTTGGGGCAGGGGGGAGGAGGTGAGCACTAAGCTGTGGCACAGAAGTATAGGAGTGGATATGGGGCTTTTGGCCTGCTCCTGAGCCCACCCACAAATTGTGCCCCCCCCCAAGACTCAGGAGGCACCAGTCACCCCTGCCTCCAGGCATCTCACGCAGATGCCTTTTGATCTTCTGTTGCCTCTGCTGCACCACGTCCTGGCCCCACAGCATGCTGCTAGGAGGGCAGCGAGGCAAGATGTCACTAAGTGTGGTGCCAATGCAGCTTCCTTCTGGTTGAGCTGGGTGAATTCAGTCAAGTGGCAATTCTGCAGTCCTTGCCTCCAGTTGGTATTGAGGGGTTTGGGTAGAGGGATGTATACGCATGGACTGAACAAACAACAGAGCTTAAAAGCAGTGTACAAAACAAAGGTCCGTGTAGATAAGATAAAACAGCAGCTCTCTGCTTTGATTATTAATTCTAGAATATGGGAACTTCTGACAGCACTGACAGGTAACACACTTCAAACAGATGTAAGGAAATAAGATTTAATTTTTTAAATACACGATCAACTCGGGGAACTCATTGGCACAAGCTGCTACTGAGAGCAAGAATTTAGCAGGATTCCAAAGATGACAGCTCACTTATATAAAAAGAACAACTATTGTTACATTAGGTAGGAAAAATATGAGTGATATAATTTCCCTGCTTCATGGTATAAATCACATGCTAATGCCTGGGATTAGGAAGAAATTTCCCAGATGGCAGTTTAGTTCATAATTGTCCATAATGGAGTTTCTCAATATTCTGCGTGAAGCATCTGATACTGGTGACTGTCAGAAACCAGATGGGCCATTGGTCTGCTGTTGCATGGTATTTCCTATGAGTGCTGGAAAGGAGGAAGTGTTAGTGGCTGAGCTGAACAAAATGGGTCTTGAGGGATTTGAAGGAGAATTAAGTTGCCTAGCACCCAGGATTAGGGAAATATGGGTTGATATGGAAAAGGCTTTAAGCTGCTTATGGGGAAAGGAGATCAGGTGCATGTTGTGTGGCAGACTGGAGTTCAATGGGCCCAATTCATCATTTCCCAACAGAGGGCATGCTGGGGCTGAGTCAAGCCAACCCTAAGCATCCTAGGCTGTTGCAATATCTATAAGGGTTTTAACAGCATATGTGTGTTAGGGAAGGAGGGGAGTGCAGAGGAGTTAAATCTGCCCCACCCCCCTTGCATCAGCATGTATTTGGCTGCATGAGCAGGGGAGTAATGAAGGGCATGTGGGGGGATAGTAGTGAAATAGTGCTAGGGTAGTGGTATGAGTAGCTTTGATGGTGACAAGGAAGACAGGGAATATGAAGCCAAAGGAGAACGTGCAGGATTCAAGTGGAAGAAGGGAAAATGACACTTTGGGAGCAGCAAGTCATGAAATAAAATAAATAAATTGCCCCTCATTGTTAGCCAGAAGCCAGCCACTGCAGAATTGCTGCTACCCCTGCTGGCAAAGGAGTGTTTCTGGTTGAGCTTTTTGCTTCTCTCTGTCCCTTGAGCCATCCAGTAAACCTTTGATGATAACATTTCTTTAGTAATAACCTTTGAAAATAAATAATGGATCATCTGTCAGAAGAGAGAGGAGAGAGAAAGGGACTGATGTTTCTGAATGGTATTATAAGACAGAAATCACTGAATTGGGGACTCTAACGACAAAGGGAAAAATAGTGGGCTTGAAGGTCACAGCAATGGTACTTCCATTGCTCCTTTCATTCAAGGATCTCAGAAGGCTTTATAAAGCTTTTGGACATCAGAGGGAATGAGAGGGATGTGCCAGGCTCTGCATGTATAGATAGGATGATTTTTTTTACTTCTCTTTCCTTCTGGTTCTGAACCCCCTGCTTATCACTCTGCTATATTTATTGATTGGTAACAACTGGCCTAACAGTTTCACTTTTTCAGCTATCTTCCCTACTAGGCAAAGGGACCTGTGAAAGGCAAATTTGGGGGCTTATATAAACCTTCCCTTTACTTTTGTTTGAATACTGATATGACCCCTGGATAAGATTTTGTCTTGCAACAAGATATTGAGTCACAACAATATTAACTGACTCCCAAAGTTGCACAGAAGCCTATTGCAGGAAGAGAAATTGAATCCTGACCTCTGGACCCCAAACCAGTGCATCCCCCTCCTAAGCTTGAATTTGGTTTCTTGCTGTTTACTAGATTCCCAGTGATTCCTGAATGAGAACATTCCTGAAGGACCCAACTCTCCTCAAATAACTGTTTTGTTGACTAGAACCTACAAGGAGCAAGGTCAGTTATAGCCTTGCTATCTGTGACTTGGCAAGCAGCATCTAAGGCTTCATTTATAGTTAGCAGATGGGTAACAGATAAGAACTATCTTAGTCTCTTTGATCCTTATATAATAGAACCAAAAATGGCCTCTTCCAAAATTAAAACAACTCCAAGTCCCAGAAGCTGGACTGCAGATAAGGGGAAGCCCGTGATGGGTTATTTATTTCTCCCTGGCTGGGTGCATCGTGTAATTATACCTCATTACCTTATGGCACAGTCTGTGTGGCACTGAGTTTCTCATTAATATTGTGTAAGGTGCAACTGCCACTGAGTCTTTCAGAGGCAGCAACCCCAGGTGGCTCATTTTCTCCTCTCTTTGCTGATGACTTATAAAGAGCTCAGATAATGACTTGCAGAATTTGGAAATTATTAAAACAGCACCCGTTCCTTTCCCTGCCATTATCCTTTCCTCGATTCATTGTTGCTCTATTGACAAATACTGTTATATCTGTGACACACAAGTGACAGCTTCGAAAGAGGGTAGGAGACTAGGAATGGGGCTTTTCCTAGTTACATCACTGACCCAAGATACTCAGTTTTCCCATCTGTAAACACAAGCACCACCTGAACAGGTACTTGAACCCTGGCCAGTGATATTAAGAACCTGAAGCTCAATCAACTGAAATATACAAGTTTACAGTTTCCCTCTCTGTAAAATGGGGCTAATACTGCTCATCACAGTGAAGGACTGTAAAGCTTAATTTGTTAATGTTTATAAGGCACTTTCAGATCCTTGGCTGGAAGACGCAGGAAAAGGCAAGGTGTGGCTAATTCCAAAACATAAGCAGGAACACGTTTTCTGCATTTAAAGAGTTTTCCCTGTGCTACAGAATTGTGCTTTGGAATCTCAGCTTTCATTAAAAAAAAATTTCTATCCCTAATGGCTGTTAAAATAAGCTCTGCATTGTTAATCAGTATAAACCAATGCTTGCGTTTGCAAAGAGCCTGAACTGATGGCTTTGAGGGATATGAAATGTCCTGGTGTTCTTACCTAGGGCCTTATGGATTCTGGGATTGTATGAGCATTGAATTTGGCATCATTCCACACCCCCCGCTGAACTGGACATTTTTTCCACAGAACTCATTACTTCATTGCAGCCAGGCATTTTATTTTCTTTCTTTGAAGTTTTGCAACAGTTTGGGCTCAGGTCTAATGCTGATGCTGCTCTGTGACAATAACTGAGGTCCTACAGTTAGATTAAGCCAAAGTCACTTTCTGCCTTTCTCAGGTGGCTGCTAGAGGTCCATTGGCATTATCAAGAAGATGGCAAAGTGTTTCCCAAAGGCCTGGCTAAAGCTTTCCATTTTCTAAGGTTCAGTGCTGGCCTGAACTGTGGTGTGCAGAACAGTCGCTTTGTTTGTCCACACAGTCCTTGCTATTCTGGCATCTGAGTTGTTGCTTTGTAATGTGATTTAGGGCACATTGAACACGGGCAGTTCTAAGCACAACCAAGATCCCATTCTGAAATAACACTGCCAAGCATAATGCTTATTCAGGGAGCGGGAATGCCAACATCACCCAGTTAAACATGGAGACTGGGTAATAATAGAGATAAAGTAGCAGATATCTAATCACTTCTTTTGCTGTATGCAATGGAGTGTACGTGACTTGTTACAGAATTTGAGTTTAGCTCTTCCATCTTTATGGCACAACATATGCACATATTAGGGAGAAGTCCATAGAAAACTCGCCAGCATAACCTACAGATTGTATATATGTATCTTTTGCTGAATAGATTTGCAGCCTGGAATCCTACTGAATTTATCCCTGTTCCTGGATACCCAAGTAAGGATCCATAATGTCCCCCTTTTTTCACTGCTGGCCAAAAGATTGTAAGTCTAATTGTGGCCCTCCCAACAGCTATCTACACGCATGGCATTTTCAGGCTAGGCTCATTGTCCCTGGAAACTACCTGGACTCTGTGGCTGGCACTGAATGCTACTGATGTCCTTATAAGATATTGCATGAAACCAGTACTCCACTTTCTGTTCACTTCCTTTAGACTCTTGTCCAGTCTGGAACTTTTATCTGAGAACATGACTCACTCACCGTTATTGCAGTTCAGATCAAATGGGAGGCTTCTGCTTCTGATTCCTGGAACTGAACTGTCAACTAGAAACAGGATTTTCTCAGCAAGGACTCCTCCCCTTTTGGCTTTCTGCCTGAGTCTGGCTGCTGTAGAGCACTGACAAGGCAGAGATTTTATTTCCTGTGTGTTTCTCTCTCTCTCTGTCTTCAATGGTGCTTCTGTTCCTGTCAGTTTGGTTTCTGTTTTATTAACAGCTGCGTCAGTAGCTTTGTGCTGCTCATTCCACATATTGTTGTATTTTAACTTATCAGAGGGTGTTGAAAAGTTTCCTGAATAAATAAGCACATGAATGTTCTGATACTATGTGTTGATGTTGCTACTAGGCAACCCAGTAAATGTAATGCTGAGAGCCCTTTGACAATTTCACTACAGTGGTGTCTGTTATAATAATCTCAGGATACCGACCCTTAAGAGAAAAATGCTTCAGCCCTCCTAGCAAGTCTTTCTTCTGCATGCATTCTTCCCTGGGATGTTTGCACAGCATGGTATCGATCTTTCTTTTGAGCTAGAAGGCTGAAGATAATCAGGAACGTTATGGATCTGGGTTGCTAAATCACTGTAGTGAAACTGATCAAAAAAACCCAGGAAGACTGCTGAATTTGCTTCATAGTGTCATGACTGTGGTTTGTATCTGAGTGGGATGTCAGCATTCTCTGATGTCCTGGTAGTACAAGCTGTTGATTTAGTTGCAGGTCGTATCTATATTAGAAGTGTTTCCCTGTTTTCCTATAGGAATACCAATTTGCTGCAGGGATGTCAAACATATAGCCCATGGGCCAGATCCAGCCCACAGTCCTGCTGTATCTGGCTTGCTGGGCTTTTGGTGGGCCACCTGAAGTTGTGAGGGAGTATGGCCTGTCACAGAATTTGGGGTGCTTGGGCCCTGCTAGCCATGGCTATCAGCTGCAAGTTTAGACCCCTCCTGCCCCCAAGCCCTGCGTCACTGCTGCCAGACCTCTTGCTGCTGCCAGACCTTCTGCTACCACTGCCCCAGTAGCCACAGCAGCCACCTCCATGGCTGGATCTGGCCTGTGACAAGCCACACAGTTTGAACCCAGAGTGGGGCCTGAAGTGAGTTTGACACCCCTGCTATATAGGAAAAGGGTCACTGTACCAGAAAAGTGAATCCAGCCACCTACTCCAGTGAAACAAGCTCTAACCACACAAGCACAGTTTTGTCAGCTGGCCCTGACAGTTTATACCCCAGGGTACTCAAGGAGCTGGCTAGCATCATAGCTCAGCCCCTGGCACGGGTCTTTGAGAACTCCTGGCGCTCTGGTGAAGTGCCTGAAGATTGGAAGAAGGTCAATATGGTACCTATCTTCAAGAAAGGGAGGGAAGTGGATCTGGCAAACTACAGGCCCATCAGCCTGACCTCTATCCTGGGGAAGGTCTTGGAAAAGATTATCAAAGAGGACATTCTTAACAGACTGGCTGCTGGCAACATCCCAAGGGATAGCCAGCATGGGTTTGTTGTAGTTAGGTCTTGCTTAACCAATCTTATTTCCTTTTACAACCAGGTGACCTATCACCTGGACAAGGGAGAGGAGATTGATGTTGTATATCTTGA